AAGGTTCTGCATCATGGGATGATCCTTTTCTACGTGGTCCCCACACTGTCTCTCACGGCCCTGCGCCTGGGTGACATGGGTGTGACCCCCCTCTGCAGCAGTGTCCTGCCATGAACCCCCACAGCCAGCTTGAGATGATGACCACTTTGGTGTCACTGGGGGCTCAGCCTCTAGGACCTTCATCCCTAGAGAAAGAGACCCTGCCACAGATGGCTGTCTGGATGATGGTGGTGAGGACGAAGCCTCAAGCTTCTGTGGCTTGGGTGTTTCTAGGGTTCTGGGTGACTGTGTTGGTTCAGTGACCTCATAGGCACTATATAGGACTGGACCCACTAATGCAGCTTCATTGACTCTGTAGTGATGAGAGAACCATAAGGGACCCATGTGGGTGTATCAGTTAGTTATTGCTGCATGACAAGCAAAACCAGAACCCAGTGGTTTAAACCGGCAAGATCTTGCTTCACTCAGGGACCTGAGCACTGGCTGGCAGCTCTAGCCCTGACTGGACTTGCTGATGCTCCTGAGCCACCTGCTGGGTTAGCTGTCAGGGCGACTTAGCGGATTCAGGGTGTGCTCCCTGAGCACCTGACCATCTGACAGCGACAGGGGAGTAGAGAGCTCTCCAGGTGAGCAGGAGCCGGTGAAGGTTGAGAGGAAGCCGGTGAGGAGGAGGAAGCAGAGTGGTCAGCGATCACCACCCCCACATGGGCCTTCTCCAGGGCTTTTGTCAATCGAGGATCTTTATCCAGAAAAGAAGGTGGCCGCTGTGTGAGGAGAACGGGAACCTGGCCGTAATCAGCGAATAACGCCGGTCCGCTCTTGCGGGTCCACGCCGACCCGGAAGCTCCTGAGATCCAAGGACACCCAGAGCCCAGCTCACACCTGTGGGCCCCGCACCCCAGTGCTGAGAAGCTGCCGTGACCCAGAGTCTGTTGAGTCCCCTGGCACTGGCCGGGTCCCTGGGGAAGGACACACATCGCCGTGGTGCTCTGTCCTTGCCGTGAGCTCTGAAAGGAGCCAGCAAGGGCATGGCTCGGTGTCCACCTGAAGGGCAAGCTGCCCACTGCCCTGTGGAGCTGGGTACTGTCCTTTCCTGGGGGCCACTTGCAGGGCCATCACAGCAACCACACAGGGCTCCCTGCAGGTTCAGCCAGGTGGCAGTGTCCGGCCAGCACTGCCCCTGGGCAGGTCTGTCAGGGCCCATCCTCTGTGTTGCTTGTCCATCACGGGTCTCCATGGCCTCCGCCGAGTCCAGCTCCCTAGTGTTCCTTCCCCATATGGAGAGTGAGGGGCTGCCACACACTGGATCTCGGCTGATGGTTCAGATGGTGGAGCCCTCCAGAGAAGGAGGTCCCCCGCTGTGACTCTGATCAGGACCCAGGCAGAGGGTGACACAGAGTCCTAGTGCACAGCAGAGGCTGAGGGAGGGACCTGAGGGGGTGCTGTCTGACCCAGTGAGAGCTGGAACGGAGCCCCCCGGAGTCACTGCCACTTCCCAACCCAGCCGTGTGTCGGAACCAGACACCTGGGCAGCCCGGATGTGTCCACGCCGCAGGTCGTGTGAGCTCCCCTTCAGATCGAGTGGCTCTGCGGGGCCAGCAGCACAGTTGCCAAGGCGACACAGCCCTCAGCCTCTGAGGAAGCAGCCTGGAGGGGTTGGCAGCGATGCCCACACCCAGGTCCAGGCAGTGTGGCTGGGTGGTCTCTGCCCTCACCACCCCACCCTGAGCTGCAGGGACAGCATCATTTGAGTGACATGGAGGTGACAGCAGGGCAGGAGAGGTGAGGGGAACAGGGCCCGGGGCTGGGAAGCGGCACAGCGTGAACTGGAACCTCAGGCTGGGCGGTCTCCTGGCCACGCAGTGTCCAACCTCAGCTGCTCCTGCAGTGACAACAGGGGCCACGGTGACTGCCAACTTCAGTCCTGGCGCCCCTGAGCCTGCACCCAGGCTCCAATCCCGCAGACCTCTGTCCACTCCAGATTGCAGCCCTGACTGGTCAGTTAGATGCCCTCCGGGGTGTGGGCACAAGGGGAAACCTCGCTCTGTGCGGGGTACGTGTGACCTACATTTCACAGCATCCCCAGGGTCCGGAACCTGTCCCTCACAGACGAGGTGGATGGCTGCCTCTGGGTCGTGTGTCTGTCTGTGTTACACAATGTATCATGCACGTGGGTGTGTGTCACACGTGTCCTGCTGGGTGACCTGAACTGTGGCCCTCTTTATACAGCCTGGGGAGACCTGGACCACCTTCCAGAGTGATGCATCAGGCCTGTGACAGTTAGCTCTGCACCCCGAAACCCACTCTGCATGACTGTTTTGTGAAAGGCATGCAGAATGGCAGCCGGGAAGGTGTCCCTGCAGCCCCAGAGGTGCCAGAGTTCAGGGCCAGGCCCTCGGCCGCTCTGCTGCCCTGTCCTCACCCCCCTGCACTGTGGTCTGGGAGGAGGGTGCTGTGTGTGACCTCATTTAGTCACCCTGGGGAGGACATCGTGCTGGTAGCTGGGGTGGTCTACTGCAGGCCACCCCCTCATTCAAAGGGCTTGCAGCAGAGGATCCCCGGCTCCCAGGCCCCAGGGTGAGGCTGCACAGGTGCAGACCAGGACGTCACAAGGGTGGGGTTCAGGGAAAGGCAGCCCAGGACTTCCGGGACTCCTCCCACCCTGTGAGAGATGGAGCCTTTTCCAAATATCAGGCATCAAGATCCCCGGCTGAGGGTGTCCTGGACGTCACAGCAGGAAAGTGGACCCATGCCTTCCTGACCAGCAGTCCACGGTGGGGGGACCAGCTGCACCCGAGAAGATGGTTGATGAGTGGGACATAGCATCACATCCCCCCAAAAGGGGCAGAGGTCCCCGGAAGCCATGGGGACCTATCAGGGTGGAGGGTGGAGGTGGACAGATGGGGGCTTTGGAGACCCCACAGGGACACTAAAGGGGAGCTCTGGCCGCCACTCCCAACAGGTGACGGCATCCTGTGTTTCTTCGGCCATCGGGTCACTTGTCTGAGAGCCAACGCCCATGGGCTCATCTGCCTGGTCAGAAGTGGGCTATGGTGGTCCCCAAAGAGTCGGGGTGCTGTAGAAAATGGTGTTGGGTGCTGGCGTGGCCTTAGCTGATGACCAAGGCCCTGCCACTTGCTGGATCTGTGACTCTGAGAAAGGCCTTTGAAATTTGGAGCCTGCGGACCTGACTGGACTCTATAGTGATCCGGGGTGTCCCTGGGCCACTGAGGCAGGCATATGCTGTGACTCACAGTGACTGAGAAGGATTGTGCTCCTCAACAAGACCCACATGCTGGCAGGCATGGCTCAGGCCACTCGCCCGTCCGTCCTGGACCAGCAGACAGCAAAGCTTCGGGGGTGCTCGGGGCGTTTGTCTCTATCATCTGAGGCCAGCGGACAGATGGGGAGCTGTCTCCAAAGCCCTCAGATACTCAAGATATTGCAAAGGTTGGGAAGACACGGAGGAGTCCAGGGTGCGGCGACACCCAGGCGGTCGTCAGGAGGTGGCAGTGGGGTCTCACGGTCTGCCCAATCCATGCCAAGGCGCCTGAATGGAACCACGTTGGCCCTAGGCGGGGCCTGGAGCAGTGCTGGCCCCGGACAGCTGGCCTCTTTCCACTCCTCCTCTTCCTCCTCCTCCTTTCTTTTTTTTCTTTTTTGCTTGTACTAGAACTTGAACTCAGGGCCTTCACAATGAACTATGCCCTCATTTTTTAATTTTAATTTTAATTTTGTGACAGGGTCTTCATGAGTTGTCCAGGCCGGCTCAAACCCCCCATCCTCAGCCTCCCACCGTGCTGGCCTTACTGGCCTGAGCCACCATGTCAGAGCAGCTCCCTTGCTTGGGGCCTTGTGTCAGGCTCCAGGGCGGCTTACCACATGGCGAGCAGCTCACCCAGGGCTCCCCATTCTCATGGCCGTCTCTCCTCCCTTGGGGAGGCCGCGGCTGTGGGGATGACTGGGCCTGTGGTTGCCTGTTGAGTTTTTCTGTCCTCCACCCCTTTATGGAGTAAGATAGTCCACACTTTCCTGGGCTCAACACTCCTTCTCCAACCCCGATCCTGTGATTTGAAGGGTGCCATTCTACTGAGGGCTGTGGAACTGGGCACAGAGGGAAAGGCCAGACCACAAAGACGTCCTTGGCCCCTGCGAATACAGGCAGTGGACCAATGCCACCATTCCCAAGTCAACAGAACTCAAGTTCTGGATTCTCTGGGGACACCAGGAAAGATGGTTTCTCTCTGAGTCATCTGCTGAGCTGTTTGGTACCAGCCTATCGGCTGGTGAAAGCCATTTGGGTGGCTGCCGGGAGATAGCCTGCTTGGGAATGCAGTGGGGTCACCACCAAGATGGCACCTGGCGATCCTCCTCTCTTCACACACAGAGCCTCGTGGGGCTCCCTGCCACACTGAAAGGGCCTAGTCTCTGCAGCCGGCAGAATATACTGGAAATTGTGCAGTGTGATTTCTAGACTCGGGTCCTAAAAGATGTCTTGGCTTCCTCTTTGTATTCTGTCATTCATGCTGAGGATGCAGGCCACCATGTTGGGAGGACTCTGGCCGCCATGTTGGGAGGACTCTGGTCGCCATGTTGGGAGGACTCTGGCCACCATGTTGGGAGGACTCTGGCCACCATGTTGGGAGGACTCTGGCCACCACATTGGGAGGACTCAGCCCCTACAGCGTCTTCCCTGTCCCTAAACACTCGCTTTCCAAGATTGTGCTGAAGCTCAGCTTCCACCCTAGTCAGACTGTGAGGGACAGCAGCCCCATCTGTCAGGCACCCAGCTAGGTCACCCCAGATCACTGACCCCAGACACTGAGGGCAGTAACGGCTGCTCAGCACACAGCCAGGGAGAGGAGCGGCTGTCGTGAGTGTGCAGGGCACTGATCTCCTGAAGGCTTTCACCCCGGCCCGCCAGGCCCTGCCGTGGGCTTGGCCTCTGCTCCCTGAAACACCCTGAGAGGACTCTCTGGGCCCAGAGGACTTCACCCTCGTTATTTTTAAACCACATTTATTTTCAAACACTGAAGGAACAGCAGTGGGCTTTGCACATCCCTGAGGCTTTAAGAACAGGTAGGATTAGATTCTGTTTATTGATCCGTGGAGAAAACCGTGACCCGGGAAGCTTCGCGCTTATGGGTGTCCACTCAGCAGGGGCCCCGCAGGCGCAGGGACTCTGTCCTGTGGTAAACTGCAGGTGACAGTCTCGGCCAGGATTCCCAGGGGAAGTGGGGACAGCACAGAGCAGCAGGGTCTGCCTGAGGTGGGGCCTGAGGAGCGGTGCCAGGGTGAGGGGGTGAGCAGGACAGGGGCAAGGCCGTGGGCTGCGCGTGGCTCCTGTGGGGTGACCGAAAGGGCAAGGGTGTAGGGCTCCCCGGTGCAGTCGGGTGACTTGGTGGGTTTCCAGAGTCCACGATGGCCGGGATGGGAGGAGCCGGGGTCCTCTGTCTACCTGCAGGAGGGACGCACTCTGCACCCGCCGGGGCCCTCTCTCCCTGCTTCCCCCTCTGAGGCCCAAGGCTGAAGTCCCCGGAGGAAGCCACGAGCTTGGAGTTGGAGCCCAGCCGAAGCCAGGATCTGAGCAGCCCCAGGGTGCCTGAAGCTGGGGTGGAGGTGCGGGTGAGGGCAGGAGAGGCCCTCTTGGGTGGCCCCCGCAGGAAGAGCTCTCTTTCTCTTTTTTTTTTTTTTTTTCTTTTTGGTCCCAGGGATTGAACTCACGACCTTGCACTTGCCAGGCAGGCGCTTGTGCCACTGAGCTAAATCCCCGGCCAGAAGAGTTTTCTGAGGGTCCCCGGAGGCCCTCGGGTGCTCCCAAAGGCAGCCCAGTCTGCAGCAAACAAGGCTCACTTGAGCGGTGTGGACAGACTGGACTTTGGGGCTTAGCTGGGGTCAGGAGCAGAAGGCAGGAAAGCAACTCCTGGGGCACTCGGGAGAGGACAGGGCGTCTTGGAGAGCAGCAGGGACAGGGGCCTGGAGCACGGTCAGGTGTGAAGGCAGCGGGGAGGTGACCGTTCCTGTGGGGCCCTGCTGCGAGTGTGCTGGGCTGAGAGACCCTCTGCAGGCGGCAGGCAAGGACAGCCCAGCCTCAGGAGGGGCACCAGGCGCCAGGCAGCCTCTCCACAGACCCAGCAGGCCACCGCAGCTGACTAATGAGGCCCGAGAAGGCAAGACAGTGCCTCGTTGCAGGTAATAAGAATCACAATTAGGCCTCGGGGACCTGCTGGTTCTCAGGATGAGTCATGTGTTTCACCCCTGCCGGCCAGGCCTGCAGCCCTAACGGGGACCATGACCTAGTTCGGCATGCACGTGGCCCCCGCCTGCACCCCCAGCTAGCTCTGCTCTTGGGAGTCAACCCCCGAAGAGCGAGCGGCACCTGTGATTATCGCACTGATGATCATGCTGAGCACACACGGAGTGGCAAAGGGCTGTGTCTTGTCATCGGGGAGAGACTAATGGGGTGCTCCCCAGGGGCGCCCCCGCCCAGGGGTGATGCTCGTGATCTCACATGTCAGCGTGTGCCTCAAGAACCCACACGGGTGCTCATCTGTCTTCATCAGCAGTGACACCTGTCACCCTCAGCCGTGGCTATGACCCAGAGCTGGTCAGCGGCCCCCACCAGAACCGCAGGACGAGCTGAAAAAGCCCGACTGCTCTACCCAGCTCTGGTGCCGGGGTGGCCGAGTCCCTGAAGGCTAAGGAGAAGGAAGGACTCCTCCCGCCCTCTTCCGGGGGTGGACGCTTCCAAGGAAACTGTACTTCAGGAGATACTGGCTGGGTGGAAGGTGGCGGGGGGACTCTGAGCAGGGGAAGTTTCCATAAAGTGACCTCATCCGGGGAGGAGGGGTGGTCTGTCACACCCTACCTCGCCCGTAGAGGTCTGGGCCCCATGAGAAAGCCAGGGAGGTTCAGGAAAGAGATCAGACCTTCTGTGTGTCTCTGAGGGAAAGAGGTGCATTTGGAGTATTTTTGTCTCCCTACAGGGGTCAGTGGAAGAGCCCAGTGTCAAGTCCTCATGCAGAGTGTGATCAGTGCTCCTACAGCAGACCAGTTCCTGGCTCCCACTAGATGGTCACTTTAATTTATCAGACTGAGCCGGCATCACTCATGCTATGGAAACTATTATTTTCTGTCTGTCCATCCATCCACCCATCCACCAACCCAATCAACTCCATAAGCAAATATTCAACCATTCAACAACCCATCCATACACCCACCAACCAACGCATCTATCCATGCATCCACCCACCAAGCCACCCACCCATCCACTCCCCCACCAAGCCATCCATGCATCTACCAAGCCATCCCATCCATCCACTCACTAACCCATCCGTCCACTCATCCATCCATCTACCCACCAAACCATCCACTCCATCCATCCAAACCTCCATCTCCAGTCATTTATGCAAAGCAAGGTTTGTTGCTTGCTGACTCCTGACAAGGATGGCTCTATCACAGGGTGTAGAGAACAGAGCTGGGCTCAGGGCACTTTCTAGTTTTAGATCACTTATCATGAAAAGATTCATAGCAACATGGCTCCTCCCTTCCCAAGGGCTTCTTTGGGACCCTTTGGGATGGTTAGAACTGTTTTCCTAAAGAAAATGCTGGGGGCCTCACCCTGACACCTGCAAACCTGCCTTGATAGGGAAATGGGGTCTTGGCAGATTTAGCCACGGTGAGATGAGGTCATCCAAGATTGGGGGCCCTAAGCCAGGGACAGGTGTCCTTAAGAGGGAACGAAGAGTGTGGATACAGTGCCCCACAGTAGGGGGCAGGAGAGGACGGAGCGGAAGTCGTGACCCACCCCTAAGTCACAGGACACCTGGCATGGCCTGGCCAGGAACCCGGGGGTGGAGAGTGTGCTGTGTCCTTCGTCCCTCACAGCCTCGGGGGGACCACCCCACCACTCTGGGAGTTGAGACTCAGCCTGCAGAGCTGCTGTCCACCAGGTGCGGTGCCTGGTGTGGCCACCCCGGAAAGCTGATTCACCCCAAACACTAGGGCCTCCGCCTTCCTTTGCAGTGATGTGATGCAGGGTGAGCAGGTGAAAGGCCAGGGCCTGCTGGCTTTAGAAAAGGGGACTTTGACGTAGGCCCGCGGGAGTGTCATGTGGACACAGAGGAAGACATGGGTGACGTCTGCACAAGGCAAGGGGCACAAGGGGTCCCAGCAAGCCGCTCTCCAAACCGCAGAAGACGCAGCCTCTGCTCAGGACTCCCTCTCGCACTCCCAACCTGCATTTTGTGAGATAAAAAAATGTGCATTGTTCAAAGCACCCCATTTGCTGCCCTTTATAGCCAGCTCCCAGGGGCCCCACAGCAGAGAGAAGGCTGGGAGGCAGGGAGCAGGTGCAGCCTCCCTGGGGCGCTGAGGCAGACCCTGGGGACCCAGAGAGCATGGTGGGTACAGGAGTTGCAGGCCAGGAGGGAGGGGCGAAGAGGCCTCATCCATGCTCAGGAGGACAGCTGGACGTGCAGCTCACATAATGGCACTCTGGGCACTGTGTTTGTGGAAGGACAGCGCTGACCTTGGGCAGCAAGCTGGGCACTGCCCTAGCGGACACCCAGGCCCCTCCAGTCTGCGTCTGCTGTCCACGTGGGGTAGAGATGGGAGTAATGTTTCTCTCTGTGTGAATGGCAAGGACACTGGGGACCCAGAAGTGGCTTTCTGCTTGGGAAGATGGGGAGCGGGCAGAGGGGACCCACCGTGACGCCACCACCCCGGGGTGGAAGGGTCTTGCGTTTAAATGCTGGCCACCTCGGCTCCTGCTGCCCGGCTGTCGGGGAAGCCAGGGCTCTGAAAGCAGCTCTACAGGCCGTTCATCCCCCAACGGTGAGGAAGGCCGGTGTGGGGCCGGGGTGCCTCAGGCTCCCGCTGCCCTGGCGCCCCAGTGAACGAGGCACCCACTGTCCCCATCGCTGCTTCCCCAGGCACCCGCATCCCTGCAGCCGGGCGTCAGCATTTCCTCTCTGCCCAGCTTCATCTCGGGGCCGCGGAGATTCAAGGACCCCAGAGAGCCCAGCAGCTGCCCGCCCACCGGCTCTCCCTGCCTTGGCAGCCTTTCGGGAGGGAATCACACTTGCAACCCACAGGCGGACCCCCAGGTCCTGCAGGACACTCAGCACACAGTCGGCCCGTTTTGTCACCGCAGGCCACCTCCCCTGGATGCAGAGGGCACCTCAGACATGGTCAGGGTGTCACTGGGAGGTACCAGGCCCTCTGATCTGCATTTTCACTACCCAGAGCTGACCAGGGAGGGCGGACGCAGCCCTGGCAGGGGACAGAGCACAGCACACAAGAGGTGATGCACTTTATATCTGCCTGGCGGGAGGTGCAAATGGCCACCACGCTCTTCCAGCCTCACACGGAGGGCGGCAGGCACAGGACTGGGACAGGCAGGGCTCAGGGGCAAGGGTGCCACCCAGAAAAAGGAGCGAGCAGGAGGAGCCCAGGATGGGCAGGTGCCCTCAGCACCCCAGCAGCACCACCGGAGGGGGATGAGTGGGCGGGCAGCTCACATGGGTCCTGTGGGGACATGTTCTCCGTCACCCAGCAGGCAGGAAGAGGGGAGGGGAGGAGAGGAGAAGAAGGAAGGGATCTGGGACAGAGACCAGCGTGGTGGCCGCTGGAGGGGAGGATGTGACCAGGGGCAGGGAAGAGGGGCGGACTCCCCTGCATCCCGGGGTCCCGCGCCATCCCGCCCAGCCCCACCTGCTCTGCCACCCTCTGAGGAGCCCGGGTCATTCCGACTTCCGGCTGGGTTTTCTCTGGGGCCTGGCCGATGTGCTCAGGCTCCACTGCCCCAGGGCACCTGGCTGAGCCTGCGGGTGTGTGGCCATCCTGGTCACTAGACACCTGACAGCCCACCCTCCCCTGTCTCCCAGCCCCAGGAAAGTTCCCAGACAGGGCAGGCTGTCCTCTCCTCGCCAGTGCTGACAGACTGGTCACCACACAGCCCCCTCTGCCCTCCGGAGAAGCAGCCAAAGGACAGGGCTCATGGCTTGGGCTTGGACCCACTGGAAACACAGGGCACCCCCAAGATGAGCATCCCCTTGCTGCCGACAGCCCCAGAGCTTCCCAGGGGACATTTCAGAGTGGACAGGTAGCCTGGGGGATCGAGTGCACGCTGGACACCACCCACCCAAGGGACCCCCAGCTTCTGAGGGGTGTCGAGGTGCACAATCCATGGGACAAGGCTGCTGGAAAGAGCTTGGTTCTTCACCCTGATGGAGACGCCTCGTCCCAGGGACCTCGGTTTACAGAAAGACCCTGTCCTGGGCCCTCGCTGAGCATAGTGGTGAGCACATGTGAGTGTGATTGCGTGTGTCCTCTGTGTGTGGTTACACAGGTGGCTGGGCCTGTCTCCCACTTGTCCCCTCTTGGTCCTTCATCTCCAGTGCTCCGGGCCAGCTTGGACAGTCTCTGGGGCACCCAGGTCTGCGGCCCCGACAGCACAGGCTTCCTGCCACCAACCCAGCCATGCTTCCTTGTGACTCTGACCCTGCGTCTCCGAGCCATGTGGATTTTATCAAACCCAGATCGCCATGGTGTCCTGGGAGCTCTCCAGAGCTCGGCGATTCCAAACTCACTTTGGTTCCGAGATTTCAAATTCTCGCCTCGTACCGTGCCAACCTCTTCACGCTGCCGAGCAGGCATCCTCCTCCGGGCCATGGGCGGCAATGCACGGGGGCAGCATTTCCTGGGCCCCCACAGCCAGCGTCACCCCCTCCCTTGTGGGTACACCGCAGCCACAGGTGCCCAAATTGAAGGCCGAAAGGTAAGAGCCGAGAGTGTGGCCCGGGTTACACCTTCTCCGAGCAGCTGAGCGGCTCCGCGCGGCCCTCGGGGGCCAGGTCCAGGTCCTGGCAGCCCCACTCAACGTCGCCCTCCCTGCTCATGGTCACCACAGCGCTCTCGGTCACGCGCCCGTCGTCTGGGGCAATGGCCGTGAATGTGGTAAACGTCACTCTTTTTCTCTTCGAGGTAGGGGACGCCGGGGGCTCACTGTGCTGCCCCTGGCCCTCGCCAAGCAAGGATCCTGCAGGTGTGAGCAGCTGCCCGGTGGGGCCGGGCTGGGGGTCCATGCCGAGGAGCAGGCACTTGCTCTCCTCAAAGTCCATGCCCCGGCCGATGGCGGTGACCTGCTCCTCGGGGCAGGAGGCGAAGGCCGCCTGGTTGTCCAGCAGCTCTGTCCGGTGGCTCAGCCCCACCCAGTCGTGTGTGCGGCTCAGCCCCTCCTGCTCCTCGAAGGGCACCTGCTTGTGTCTGTACTTCATCACGAAGGTCACGCAGTTGATCAAGAAGACCACGATGGCCAGGCAGAAGACGCCCAGCAGCGCGTACATCCCGATCTCCAGATCACTCAGGCCCTTGGACGCCTGCTCGGGGTCACCCTCCTCCATCTCCGCGTCGCTCCTGGGGACGTCAGCCTCGGGGAAGCCAGTGAGGTCCACTGTGGCGGTCTGCAGGGACCCGCCGTCCTCCAGCGTGCTGCCTTGGCCCTGCCTCCGGGGGAAGCTTGGCCTCTGTGTGGCCTCGCCCCGGCCCTCCATGAGGCCCCTGGAGGACGAGCTGCTCCGGAGCTGCCCTTCCAGGGTTCCCCACTCTGGCAGGGGCTTGCTGGGCCTCCTGTTGCCTGTGCCATTTTCCAGGTGACCCGCTGGCCCAGCCTGCCGGATGTCGCTGGCGTTGGGGTTGGCATCACTCTGACCGAATTTCACTCTGAGGTTGGCCGTGCCCGTGGCCAGCACACTCTTGCGCTTGGATTTCTGGCACGTCTCACTGATGACCATCTCCACCTTCACCAGGGCGCCCTGTCCTTCCGTCTCGGCGGCGATGACCGGCCACTGGAACTGGGGGTCCTGGTGGATGGAGACCACCTTCTCATCCAAGGATGTGGCCACTAGAGAGAAGTCCTGTCCATCATAGATGTCCAGGGGTGTGACGGAGCCATCGCTGAACTGCACCCAGCAGCTGATGGCTGCTTCCTGTGGAGGAGAACGAGGTGGTGAGCCTGTGCTGCAGAATCTCTAACCAGGGCAGACATGGAGGTGAGAGGCCCCCAGGGATGCAAGATGCACCCCCAAAAGATTAGCAATCCTGCCAGCCACAAAGGGCCTCCAGACCCCAGGCTGTATCGAGGGTCGCTTTGCCTGAGGGCTGTCCAGGACCTGTCCCCCACTGCCACACACCACCGCATAGTGGGGTCACTCATGCAGCTCACGTATTTAAACAAAAAGTGAGCAGGCATTAGTTTTACCCTGCATCAACACCAAGGCTCTGTGTCGCTTCTCACAACACAAGGGGAGGCCCCCCTCCAGAGGAGGATGGACCCCCAGAAGGGGCTGCAAAGCTGGCTGAACTGGCCCTCCCCACTGGGTCAGCAGGTGTGGACACACTTGGGGACCTGCTAACCCGGCTCCTACTGAGAAGCCCACTACCCACAGCCCATGGGAGGAACCCAGAGACCCCGGGGCCTGGGTCACGCTCTGTGTGCTGCACACCCATCTCTGACCCGTGCTGCTCTGTTGTTTAACACTTGCCTCATGAACAGCAGCGGCCAGGTGTCACTGAGACACCCCGCAGTTCAGTGCCAGTTTTTTATTTCAGAGACGCCTGCACCCTGGACAGTGGTCAGCAGCTAGCTGCCTGCTGTCTCCTGCGGCATCCTTGGAGAGCTGCCCTGCCCGTGCCCAGGAGGCCCAGAGTGCCAGGATGTGTAGCCCTGTCCCCAGAGCCAGTGGGGATGGGACACAGCTGTCACCAGAGCCACAGTCTCAGCGGTACTGACTGACCTGTCCATCCTGGCCACGCCCTCTCTTCGGAATATGAAAGAGGAAAGAATCAGGAAACACTTAGCTATGTTCCCCCCCACACACAAAAGTTCGGGGCTGAAGGCCCACTTTGGGATCCATATCCATGGATCACGTACTGGGTGTAATGGAAAACTATGGCGTTTAAATTCTTTAAAATCTTACAGTGAAAGACACTGCCACGAGGCCTCCTCAGAATAACCCCCCTCACTTTGGGGGCACTGGTCCCACCCTTCTCGCTGCCACAGCGCCGTTCTGGAGTCCCCTCTCATGAGTGTCTTCAGTTGCGCTGTCCTGGCTGCCCCGGTCAGTTTGACTTTGGGAAGGAGCCACGGTCGCACAGTGCCAGGCCTGGTGATGGTGGCGCGGGCACACAGCGTGCTGTTTTTGTGAGTCCACTGTCCACGGGGTGGTGCGGGTGGCCACAGCACTCACCCAGCTGTGCATCACCCCCGGAAAGACGCTCCTGAAGGAGGGCTCCAGAGCTTCTGCGGAAAGCAGTGGGGCGATGGACAAGTGTGTTCCAAGGGAGGGGACCGAGGGGGACACAGGGCAGCCTGTCCTTCCCGGTGACAGATCTTTAAACACTTGCTGTATCCTGGATCAGCCTTGGTGTGGCTGGATGTCTGGGTGTGGCACTTGTGCACGGGAGAAGAAATAGACCAGCCCCAAACCTGTCCCACTGGGGGCTCACACTGGGTCTGTGCCTCCCCGCCCTGGACCACCCCTGCTAGGTAAGTTGTCCTGCTTTCCTGTTTTAATTTTGTTTGGTTTTGGTTTTGTTTTGCCTTTTGGTTTTGAGACAGGGCCTTGCTGTGCGGTTCAGGCTGGCCTTGAACTACAGTGACCCTCCCGCCCTGAGTGTGCCACCTCGCCCCGCTTTGCTTTCTTTCTTCCAAGCCAGGCTCCCCTGACCACCGGGGTGCAGCAGGACGGAGGCTCCTGCAGAGTGGCTGGGGCCTCCCCTCTGGCCTCCGCCTGGCCAGCAGACACTTCCATTGCCAGGCAGGGCCAGGACCGGCTGTCCCCTCTGGGCCACAGCCGACGGCCACCGTGCTGGTGGGAGAACACGCGCCCCAGAGCTCTGCATTCCTGTGGGTCAACCCCGTCCTCCTGTCTGCCCACAGAGGAAGAGGGAGGCGGGGCGTTCCATCCCCAGAGCCCCTCCTCGGGGTCACCTCGAGATCCACACCCACGCTGCACACACCACACACTTCGTGCACACTGCACAACATAGGGTGGGCTCCGCTCACACCCACACACAGGGGCACACACACCGCAGACACACAGACAGGATGCAGCACAGACACAAGACCCTACACACATACACAGCACACCACGGACACACACAGCACACGATTATTTCACAGAAAGAACGAACACTGCAGTGGACGTCACCCAGGCTGCCATGGCCTGGAGCTCAGCAATGCCTGGGGTGTAAACTGCCTCCTCCATCCCCCAGGAGCACATGGACAGGTGAGACCCCGAGGTCACCGCCTGCGTGTCCCTGTGATGAACAGGACAGGTGCGGGGTGCTTCACTTGGTGGCTGTGACCGTCTATTCTTGGGACTCTCCCTGCTCTGGCTGGGGAACGGAGGCACCATGAAGTCAGGTGTCTGCTCCTCAAGTCCTGGCAACAACGGTGTGGCCTGCTCCTGCCTGACCCCCCAGCACCTGTACCCCAGGGCATGAGGCTGCCGAGCCCACAGCAGTGCCTGGCCGCCCTCACCTGTCTGGGCCTCTGCAGCAGCTCCTGCGCCACCGCGGTGGCGAAGACGGCTCTGTTGCTGCCCGGGCTGAGCTGTAAGGAGAGGGACAGGCCCGTCACCAGCTGGACCCCGAGGTCGGTGATGGTCACCTTCTCATCCAGCACGGTGATGGTCTTCTCAGCCAGGATGGTGTCCGACAGTGGGGACAGGATCTGGGGGCAGAAGCGACAGGACAAGGAGAGGCTTTCTGCGCCCCAGCGACTCCCCAGGACCTGGGCCACAGGGGCACCGAGAGTGGCAGGGAAGGTGGGCCGGGTGGGCCCTTCCACCAGCACCTTTGGGTCAGGTGTGCTCCGGAGAAGGACAGGGCAGAGCTGCAGCCCCGCCCACCCTCAGACCCTGCCTGGCCCTGCGCCTGGTTCCCTGTGACGGAGGAGCTGGCGCCGCCACCACCTGCACCCTCTGTGCCACTGCCTGCTCACGGTCACTATCCTAAGCATCTGTTTCTGGAGGTTCGACCTGAGCTGCATGTTCACGTTTCTCATGCATGTCAGGCGGCCTCCTTTCCTTGGTCTATGCTCCATGGACGCTGCCCTGCCCTGCTGGGGCCCACGGCCCACATGGACCAGCGGGGAGCCGGGCCCCTGGTTGCACCTGGAGGCCATTCTGCACCCTCTGCCCCTGCAGTCCCTGTCTCCCGTCCTCGTGCCCCTGTGCACTCTGCACACACCGTGAGAGAGGCTGGAAGGGTCACCATTGTAACCTCAGCCTCCCATGGGCTGGGATCCCCGCAGGGCCCCTGGCCTGGCTCCATGCAAGGGATGCTTTAAAATGCAGTCAGTGATCCTACTTCCTAAAAAACCCAGATTCAGTATGAGAAGAGGTTCGGCGTCCCCAGAGCAGTGGGCACACGTGTGCGGCACCCACTGTGGGCACAGCAACACCCTCACTGCGTTAGGTGTGAGTCATCTAGATGCCACTGATCAGGCTCAGTGTCCCAACCCTGACATCCCTGCAACTCGGGAGGCTGAGGCAGGAGGGCTGGGAGTTCAAGCCCACCCCTGCCAACCCAGTGAGAGCGGCCTGCCAAGGCCCTGGGTTCAGCCCCAGCGCCAGGGGAAAGACCCGCATGGCAGGCTGTGAGCAGGAGAGCAGATATGCCTGGCTTTATGGCCGGCCTGCTTAATGGTTATCACGCTTAGGCTCAGAGATGCCAGTGACAGCGTGGACCACCAGGGGTGGCTTCCACTGCCCGATGCTGTAACTCCCACGGAGTGGCTTTTCAGAGTTCACAGCCTCACTAATTCCTGGATTTTGCCTTAGAAACTAATAATTGTTTCACAAATTGCCACAGTTTTGAAGAAACTGTATATGTCTTTTGCAGAAACTGTTTATGTGTTTTTTTGGCGGTATGTTTGCAAGCAGCCAATCAGAGAGTGGGGCTCAGTTCTCCTTACTGCTGATTGGCTGCTGCCTGGTAACCCATGGCACCAGCATCCCACATCATAGCAGGTGGCTGTCGTGTGTGGCAGTCTCCACTGTCCTTGGCTGCTGCTTCTTACTGCCTTAGGACGCTGCCAAAACACCCTGCACTTTCAAAGGCTTCATTAATACAGCGTTTCATTAAATTAAATTCTATAACTAGGGAACACATGGCATAGTTAGGGTTTAAATTATAAAAATAGGCACTTATAGGCATTTTCTGACATCTGACATTAGTGGTTTTCTGCAACTCGGGGTGCTCCAGGAAGAAAACCCCTGTGAATTTTGGGGGCCCACTATCCTGTAATTTGCTGATTGTCTGTGCAGCACAGGGGTGTGGCTTTCTGTTCTGATGCACAGCAGGAGTCACCCAGATAACAGCAAAGCCACCAGGCCGATCCCCTCGGACCACGCCTCTGCCCTGAGCCCTGTAGTGTATGCACTCGGTCCACTTCCCCTCGGACCACTTTTGCCCTGAGCTATGTCCCCAGCCCTTTTATTTAATTGCGGCAAGGTCTCAATATGTCTCTGTGTTGCCCGGGTTAGACTAATTTGCAATCCTCCTGCCTCAGTAACTGGCTCAGTTAGACTCTGTCTCTTGAGGAAGGTCTGTGTGGGAATGCCATGGTATGGCATACAAGGCTGAGTGTCAGCAGGGTCTGGGTCTGGGGGGACCAATCTCTGTGGATTTGGCGTGGCCATGTCTCCCTCCTTGAAGAAAACAACCTCTCGTAAACACCAGCCCATGTTTGAAGGGGCATGTGGTGGCCAGGCCATGGTCAGACCTAGCGTCAGCCAGAGCATTGTTCGTGCATGGCTGCTTAGAAATCCCACAGGCTGCCTGGCCTGACACTCTCCTGTCCCCTTACTGGGGCACCACTGCCCTGTGTCCCCTGATGGGTGGGACATGGCAACTCCAACACAGTGCTCCCGGAAAGTGCTGGGTTCCCAGTCTCAGCGGTGGCCCCAGTCTCTCTGCACTGCCCCCAAGTCCAACGTGCCATGAGTAAGAACACTGAGTCAGAACACTGTCCTGGCCATCAGCAGGGTGACAGCAGTGTCATGAGTGGTGGGACCTGGGCAGGAAAGGTCAGTGGGCAGGTGGTATCCAGAGCTCATCTCCTAGGATGCTGAGACCCGGGGCCGGGTGTCACATCATCAGGGACCTCAGCTCTGTGGCATCTTTACCCCACTCATGTCAGTTCCACTAAAGCTACTCTGCGATAGCATTTTCCCTAAGAGACGGTGGCCAGCGGGATTCTCAGAGGCGGGGACCCACAGGCTGGGCTGGGCGTCTCACCTGAATGGTGGTCATGCCCAGCTCCTGCCCTGTCAGGATTTGCCCCCCTTGCAGCCTGGCGATCCTGGGCTCCTCCACCTGCATGAAGTCACTGATCAGCTCTGTGATGTCCACTTGCCAGTCGGGGCCCAGCAGGTGGACCAGCTGTCCTCCAGGGTCAGCCGCCTCGGCCACGAACTGCGTCAGCACCCGCACCATGGCACGTTGGAACTGCAGTGCGCAGCCACGGCCCCGCCGCTCCTCCTCGGCCTCCTCCTCCTCGCTGTCCGGTGCGGGCCTGCCGAAGAGCCAGGTCAGGGGGACAGGGACTCACGTGTTGGGAGACCCTCGGGGTGTTGAGTGGTCGGGCTGGGCATCGCCCTATGGGGGCTCGCAGCTCAGACTCAGAGGCGGGAGGCTGGGGATCTTTATGACTCCCCAGGATGGGCAGGGATGCTCTCAGGGTCCCTCCTGCCGGCTCCACTCTGGGTGACTCTCTCTTTAGCATGGGCTGTCCCTAGAGACTTGCTCTCCGTGGTCATCTGATGGCAGTGACTTCAGGGCCACTTTCAAGTTGTAAGACTGTGACACTGCCAGGCAAGGTGGCACATGCCTATAATCTCAGCACTCAGGAGGCTGACGCAGGAGGATTGCTGCAAGTTCGAGGCCAGCCTGGGCTACGTAATGAGTTCAAGGCCAGCTTAAAGGCCAGCTTAAAATACACAGCAAGACCCAGTCTCCAAAAACAAACAAACAGACTGGGGCATCAGAGTCACTTATGTACTCTCTTTCTGGCTGTCCCCGTCAGTCTTCCCTGATGAAGCAAGCATCTTGCACTGCCCAGTGGCTGGGCCACTTTGTGTGGACTCACCCTGCTCGCAGATGGACAGAACCTGCGGGGCCCCAAGCCCTGGTGGCCGCTGGGCTGTGCCCGCTTTGCCACCTGCGGAAGTGTGAGACACCCATGCTGTCCGAACCCAGCGTTGCTGAACCTTTTAGGGACTGAGCGCCCAAACTGCAACTGGCATCCAGGGATTTACCCCAAAGTGCCATGGCTATGGCTAAGCCCGACTCCCATGCTCAGCTGCCAGGGCGTCTTGCTCTGAGTGCCCACTGTGGCACACATACCATAGGTTCACCACTATTTTATACCATTCTATGTTTTGGAGTAATTTTTTGGGGGGTGCTGAGGATTGAACTTAGGAATTTTGCCCTGAGCTATGTCCCCAGCCCTCTTATTTAACTGCGGCAAGGTCTCAATATATCTCTGTGTTGCCCGGGCTAGACTAATTTGCAATCCTCCTGCCTCAGCTTCCCAGAGTCCTGGGATTATAGTTGTGCACCGCCATGCCCAGCTGGGGATAACTTTCAAACTTTGGGGTGAGCCACTAAGCCAAATAGCAGTAGAGTTGAGAGCGAGGATTTAACTTCAGGCAAAGCTCGACACTGAGACAGGGAGAAAGCACCCACGGGTGGAAGCAGGAGGGTGTCAGCTGCTCCCTGGACACCTGCACCTGGGTGCGGTGGCCCTGTGACAGTACCATCCCTCTACCCAGCCCGTGGCTGTGTCTGAACCCGGCAGCTTCCTCATCACCCGTGAGGGGAGGACTTAAGTCGGGACCTTCTCTGCAGGGCTGGGAAAGGGAGGACACAGTTCCAGCAGGAGCCACAGAGAAGAAAGGATGGAAATCTGGAACCTGGTGAGGGACGCCTGACCAGGGATGCAGGTGTCACAGCTGAGGGAGAGGGGGACGCCTGTCCAGAAGATGCCACCTGGATCGGGGTCCAGTCTCAGCTCGGGCGAGCCAGGCTGTGGGCAGGCCTGTTGCTAGTGCTGGTGTTCCCCACACAGACGTACCTCTTGTTGGACACAATGGGGACCCTCCAGCCCTTGATCTGGTTGAGCTCTGTGTCTGACACCTCGATCTGCAGCGGGAGCCGGGGCACCCACACTGTCATCTCCAGTGGGCTGACCAGGTGCTGGTAGGAGAAGGTGACCACCACGTTGACCTTGCCTTTCATTTCCTTGCCATTGACGAAGACGTAGTCACACCTGTCGGACACCTGTGAGGCGTGGGAGGGAGAACAGAGGGGCAGCTGAGGTTCACCGCATCCGATGGCCCAAAGATGGGGGAACCGTGGCGGTCTTGGGCACCTGTCCTGAGGACTGAAGCCCAGGGCAGGGGAGACACATTGTTGAAAGCTGCTGATGTTGCTACAATAGCTGCCATCCCGCTCTCACAGAGGCAAAGAGTCAAGGATCTTTTATACCCAGCTGTGGTGACACATAAGCAATTGGTAATGAAGTCTCATACATTTAAAGTGTGCAGCCTAATGTCTCCATGTGGATGGTGAATGATCACCAAATTCAAGTTTATTCACACACCCTCTAGCCCACCAGCTCCTTTCTGTGTGTGCATGTGTGCACGTGTGAGGTGTGAGAACATTCACTATCTACTCGCCTGGCAAATTTCCAGCACACGATATGCTGATATTAACTAGAGTCGCCGTGGTGTGCATCAGGTCCCCAGGATCATGCATCTGACGTAACTGGGACCTGTCTTTGACCATCACCCCATTCTTCCGCCCGACACCTCCTCTCTCTGCTTCCACAAGGTTGATGGTTTTAGACTCCACATCAGTGAGATCATGAGCTATCTGCTCTTCAGTGCCCAGCTTGTGCCCCTCAGGGTGACACGCTGGCTCTTGGGGAATGACGGGGTTTTCCTCTTAGTGAAGGCTGGACGGTAACCATGGTTCAGGGACCACCACCCCCTCCCTGTCCTGTGCAGCCACCTATCAGCAGCACTCAGTTTTGTCTGTGGCTCGGCTTTGCTGAGTGATTAGGGAGATGACCCTAGGGTATCCGGGTGTGCCCTAACTGAGCTGTCCTCATGAGGGAGGCAGGGGATGCCTGGGACTGTGGCCATCTGCAGGAGGCTGTGCTGCCCATTCAAGGGTGAAGACTGGTCCAGGAAGGGTGGCACACCCCTGGGGAACCATGGATCCCGAGGGAGGAGGTGCAGCCTGCCCCACCTGCACCTGACTCCTCTGAGGCCTGGGGATGGTGGAGAAGCCTGTGGCCTCACACGGCCACCAGGTGAGTGGAGACTGCCCCATGGGAAGCTCATGGGGTGGCACTGAGCCGAGTCTGTGCCCATCTCAGCTTTGATGGCTGAGCAGAGAGGGAGGGTGACGAGAGAAGCCACACTTACTGGGCACCTGGGACAGGACAGGGCTGAGCATGGCTGCTGTCCCTGGGATTAGTGGCCAGATCACCTGACACACCGGGGCCATGGCACTGCACATCACAGGTGGTGAAGCGGAGACCCAGTGACATGCGGTCCCCTCCGCCAGGATGAGGCTGGGTGCTCAGCTGCGGTTGCATGGCTGCCTCCGTCCCCACGAGCCACCCTGCCTGGTGATTTCTCAGTTTCTGTCTGTTACAGGGTGAAAACTCCTGGGCCCATCACAGGGTGGAGAGAAGGGGAGGTGAGGTGAGCAGGCTGCAGTGCCTGGAAAAGCGTTTCCAGCGAGGTCCCTGTGTCTCGAGGGGCAGAGGGGAGGACAGCGCAGCAGGGGCGGGCGTGAGGCCAGGGCTTGGGGTCTGCTCTGCGGAGGGAATGCGCTCTGCTCACAGGTGGAACTCAGTCACCCTTAGCAGCACGGGCACCACGGTGGGATTGGAAGGCCAGGGGCACAAACCCCTGAGGGCCTGGGGCAGTGGGAGGCGGAAGAGGGGAGGAAGGGAGAAAGGAAGGACAGATGGAAGGACAGATGGAAGGAAAGGAGGAAACCAGAGCATCCCAGGTGGGTTGTGAGTGTCCAGCTTCTTCTGCCTCTAAACTTCTCCCCTGCAGTAACGAAGGAGGTCAGGAAGCCGAGGCTGGGAGGAGACGGGGCGGGAAAGGCACACGGATGTCCGCGCAGGGCGCTTTTCCTGGACACAAGCTGTGGCTGTTCGTGCCCAGGCGTGGGAGCTGTGGGCCTGGTGCGAGGGCCAGGTGTGCATGTGCGTGCCTGTGTGCGTGTGTGTGCGCACATGTGCCCGCGGTGCTGTTGAGATCAAGTCCTAAAAAGCAGGCAGCCATGTCGAAGCGCTCGTGCCCCTGCGTCCAGCTGGCCGGTGGCCTGTGCCCGCAGTCGGGGCTCTGTGCGCGGGGCTGTCAGTCCCCGGCCTGCGGCTGCACGGCCCCGGCTGGGAGACGGAGTTAATATCTCCGACCCAGGTGTAGATAATCCGACACTTGTGCAAGGCTAATGCCACTGCTGCCTCTCCTGTTTAAAGGCTAGATGGCCTTAAATCTTATTTAAATATCACTGACATTCCTGGCAGCATTTATGTTCTTCTGATATTTTCCCCGTCTTTTGACCTAAGGGCTAACGGCTAAGGGGACTGAAATTTCATTTCCCCCACAAACTTTGCAGTCCTGCCTCTCGGGAAAGCCTTCACGCAGTCCCAAGCCTGCGGGATATTTTCGGTTTCCTTTTTAGATATTGTCTGGCTACATGGCCCAGCGGGTCTGGAACTCACCACGTAGCTCAGGCTGGCCTGGAGCTTGCGGTGATCTTCCTGCCTCAGCTTCCAGAGTGTGGGGCTTACAGGTGTGCGCCCAGCCCACGGTACCTTTCTTTGAGTGAGTCCTTATCCTGGACTGACGCATCACACTAGTGACGGAGGAGACACACACACAGCGGCTAATAGTGGTCACTGCTGCCTGCAGTGCTGTGCGGAGCGCTAACATCTTATTCCGCTGGATCCCCATCACGAGCTTCTTGGACTGGCCTCAGTTGTGCCTATTTTCCAGGTGATAAAATCGGGGTCCAGTGTCGCTCAGCTGCAGGACCTGCAGTGCTGGGCCAAGGCATCCTCTCAGGTCTGTTCTGGGGTGGGAATTGGCCTCCTGCCCTTTTGCCCCGAGAGAGAAGCTGTTTAATGGAGGCACTGGGAGAGGGACAGGGCCAGCCCAGAGCCAGGACGGGCCAGGATGGGTCCGAGCCTCTGTGCAGAGGACGAGGAGTCCATTTGGGCTCCGACCAAGTCCGGGACACTGGGAGTGCCCATCCCCACTCAAGGCTGGAGAAAGGTACTTCACAGGGGATTCAGTTTAGATGGATCCCAGGCTGGGCTGGCACAGAGGGACGGTGTCCTGACCCTTGGGAGGCCACAGGAGGCTTAGTGCCCCAGGCCATGGGCTGGGAGCAGAGACCAGGTGAGGATGGGAGGGCAGGTGGCCGCATGCACCCCAGGGGAGGCCGGGAGAGGCAGTCCAGCCAGCGCTCACCATGGCCCTGCTCCAGACCTGCAGAGAAGGGGCATCAGATTCTGCCCCCACATGGCACCCAGCCGCAGAGCCAGTGCGGGCTCCACAGCAGGGTTGCTGTCCCCTCCATCCTGTCCCTGTTTCCTGCATGGGCCATGGAGGCCTCTTATGCTGGACGGAGCAGGGGCCAGCGCATCTTCCTTCCCCTAAGCCATAGATTCAGAGGCCAAGGACTCCCAGGCCCCTCTCAATGAGGGAAGCCACCCGCCCAGGGAGTGCCACCTGTGCTTCATTATCAGTCACCCCCAGGCAGGCGTGTGACAAGACCTCAGGTCACCCGAATGGCGACCAGCCCCCAGACTCTTGCCCCAGGCAGCTCAACTGTGGCCTCGCCTTATCTATGCAGCACGGACTGACTTTGAGATGTTTGTTAGTGGAAAGGCACTGCCCTTAATCAGCCTCAGGGTCCTCCCCTTGCTTTGAGGATGCGCATCCCGCCATCCTGGCCCTCTCCGCAGCAGCTCCAGAGTCCTCTTTCCTGAGGGTCTACACCAGGTCTGATTGAAAAGTCAGTTAGTGCCTCACGTAGAGCCATCCACGCAAAGGCGGGCTCCTAAACACATGACCCCACATCCCTGTCCACCCGAGTCACCGGATGTGGCACTGTGTGAGTGCCACTCTTCCCCAAGGCTGAGATGACCGAGAAGCGTCCATGTTTGAGGTGACTTAGGACATCGTGGCAACCACCACCGTACAGTGCAGATACTTAGGAAGGAGGATGCCAGAGCTTTGGCAGAAAGAGGCAGGATGATGGGGTGAGCGTGTTTGAGGCACAGGGAGGCTTCTGAGGAGCAATGCATCTCTGCCAGAGCAAGTTCCTAAGATGGAAACATCCGTTCACTGTATTCTTTGATCACATTGCAAATCCTGGGGCAGATTCCCCAGGGGAGGCTGCCCTGTCCCTGTGGCATGGTGGGCAGCACCCCTGTCTGCTCTCACTGGGTGCCAGCAGCACCCCAAGAGCAGCCGTGGCACAGAAGAGTCTCCCAGCTTGGGCAAGGGAGCCGGCAGAGCTGTGCTCCGGGGCGAGCACCAGGCTGGGTGCGTCCCTCCTGCCCTGCAGCCCTCAACACTGAGCTCCCATTGTCCACCCGGTCACCGTGGGGACACTGAGCACAGAGGGGAACCGCCTGCTCAGCTTCCTCCAACCCTGCAGTGACAGATGTCCTCGCACCTCGCCTGCTTGCCAATGCCCATCCTCCAGGCTGTGCTGAGTGGCGGGGACCAGAATAGACAGAGCCACCAGCGTCTCCACTGTCCCAAACACTCCTCACATGCCGGGAGGCTGGAGCGGTGCCATCTCCTTTTTCTGGAGAGCAGACTTGGAGGCGCAGACACGTGAACGGACGGACTGGCAGACAGTGTTTTCCAAAGTTGCCATGGCCATCTGTCCCAGCTCCCCACAAACCTTCCCCACGGGGACCTTGCTGTAGCCCCCCCAAAGAGGGGCAGTCCCCTCTCCTTGACTCTGGACTGGCCTTGGGACTTGTTTGACTCACAGAATTCCTTTTCCGTGCATGGCCCTGGAAACTGAATGCAGGGCCTTTGCTCTGAGTTCTACCCCAGCAATTTTTAAATTGTCCTTTTGAAGCAAGGTCTTGCTAAATTTCCCAGGCTGGACTGGAGCGTGCAGCCCTCCTGACTCAGCCTCTCAGAGTGCTGGGTGGACTTACAGGTGTTCACCACCATGTCCAGCTTGACCAGTAGAATTTCCTGCACGCAACGGTCTATCTCTGTCTT